TGGTTTATGTTTATAGAGCGAGGAATACTACATTTGGAGTGTGCCTTTCTTGGTTTTTGCGCTTGTGTTGGTTTATGTTTATAGAACGAGGAATATTACATTTGGAGTGCGCCTTTCTTGGTTTTTGCGCTTGTGTTGGTTTATGGTTTATAGAACAAGGAATATTACAGTTGGAGTACGCCTCTCTTTCCGTGCGGATCGTACGGATTGAACGAACCGTATCGCATTGTGCCTTGATGTAATAATGAGATGCACGCTCCGTATGTCTTCGGACCGTACGGATCGAACGAACCGTAACGCATTGTGCCCTTATGTAATAATGAGATGCACGCTCCGTATATGCTCAGCATACGGACCGTGAGTAATAGTGACGCTTTGTGCAGAACGTACGGTCCGTTAACTGCTCTTAACGGTCCGTAACAGTGCGGCAGTATTTGACATGATGAGACTTTCAGTTGTCCAAGTCCCAGGTCTTTGAGGCCCACAGTTTCTGAGTTATTTGCCGAAATGTTTCACGCACCTTTGTAGAGCATTGCGTGGAGACGCCATATTGGTGTACCGTTTTGGAGTTCAGTTTTTCTATATAAAAGCTTTTTTTTTTCACTCGAGAACTAGCATACGCGCGCATAAACATATTGTAGATTCCATTCCAAGACTGTAAGCTCTTAAAAAGATAGAGTTCGAGTTCAACCACATCACATGACATAAACAAGTGATAATAGACCTTTTTACCGATATGGGAGCCATATTGAATTTACTAGATTTAAGGAGTATTATGGGATGCCCAGGGGGGCACTCGCTCAGTATTAACGCGCGCTTTTCGGGCAAAAAGAGAACTTCACTATATATTTCTCGGGAAAAAGGAGATCATTATTAAATCCAAACACGGCACAACGATCTTTTTCGCCCATTACAATTTTTTTTTTAGGAGAACTTAATGAAAAATTATCCCGAAAAGCGCGCGTAAATACTGAGCGAGTATATCGGATCGTGCTCATGCCCCCTGGGCATCCCATAATACTCCTTAAATCTAATAAATTCAATATGGCCGCTGTATCGGTAAAAAGGTCTATTGTCATGACGTACATAATGTAACGCAACTCGAAATGTGACTAACAGTTCTTCCCCTCCCGAATTACAGGGAAGCTGAAATTCAAATTCATTTTAACTGAAACACATCCTTAGCTCTAGATCATAGTTCTCCGAAGTGTTCTTTTTCACATTGATGTCATTACAGTTCGGTGTCCGGAATCTCCGGCGGAGAGATTCTAGTTATTGGTCGCTTAGGGTCTGCATCACCAAGTACAGCAAAAATAGCTCGCTCTGCTGACTTGATCATACATTCAAAGACTCCACCAAAATGTGGCGCCGCAGGTGGATTCCAATTCCAACTCATTCTTTTATTGAAGGTCATCTGTTGTATCTTGTCTTGGTCTATAGCAGAGACTAGGTCTCGCAGTTCCCTTGATGCGCTTACAAATTAAAGTTCGTTCCATTGTCACTTAACATTTTCTGCGGCCATCCTCTACGCGCAGTCATTCTGACAAAAGCGTCAAGAAATGTATCAGTGTCCAAAGACGAGGCCATCTCTAAGTGGCAACAATGTGTCTTCAAACAGAGAAACAAACACAAATAGCGCTTAGCTCCTCGCACTCTTTCACGTCCTTGCTTAGTTAAAAAAGGTCCTCAAAAGTCTACTGCACTGCTCTCGAAAGGTCTGGAGGATTTCTGCAGTCTAATCTTCGGTAACGGCGCCATTTGCTGGTGAGCTGGCTTTGACCGAAATCGTCTTGCACACTGACAACGTTCTCTCATGACTCTTTTCACTTGTTCACGAATATGGACCACTAAGTATTTCTCCCGTACATGATTAATCGTATAGTTAAGCGCCATCTGATGGCCCTTGCATCCGTCAATTCCACACTCTCTGTTCCAAGTACATGAGTCGCCAACATGCCCTTTCCCCAAGCAACGGTAACACAGTCCAAGTTTCTTCGCCGTCTCCCACTTCTTTCTATATATGTTCCATTCCCTTGAACACATCACATTTCCAAATTGGGTGTTTTTGGTTGCACACTTTACGGGGACGATCACGTTTATACTTATAAGTCAAAGAAAACAGAAGAAGATATAAATATTTATTTTGAAGTTCGATTTATTAATAGTTGAAATTTATGGCAATAAGTCTCGGAAATCTTGTCGCTAATTTAAGAACAAGAAAACTTTAACTTTTCCTGGTGTTTTGGTTTCTCAGCTCTGTAGTCTCTGGGAACCAGTCTACTTCAGCTGGGATTAGGAAATGCTTATGTAACTTTTTTTTATTTATTTCCTTTTACCTTTCAGTGGCCATCTCTAATTTATTGAATGAATGCAGGCACAACGTCTCCTGACGGCAAACAATTTCTTTTCGTCGGTAAAACAGTAAAGTTGGCAATTTTGCTTTATGTCATAAGTCTTAGTGTACACGACTAAGTTGCATAGTAGGCATTTGAAGACTATGCAATGGCCAAAAAATATTTCCAGCATTTTTGGGCATACAAAGTTTTACACCAGTCTTTTATGTCTTTTTGTTCTCAGCAAAGTGAATGAGGCCAATAACTGTGCCACCACCAGTCGTCAAGAAAAGAATAAGTTGTTTGTATGTGCAGGTGGCAATATAAAATAAATCCTGAATAAAAGATCAATCAAACTTCTTCACTCGCCTTGAAGTTGATATGATGCTTCGCGTATCAAAAGTAAGTATGTAGACTGATCTATAATGCAGGAGCGTATCCAGCCTTTGAACTTTCTGCAGGCCTGGTCCCTATAAGGGTAGCCTCCCACGCAGGCGTTTTTAGTGGAGCTCGTTTTTCATCCCTCCCTACAAACTCTTTGTGGGGAGGGATGAAAAACGAGCTCCCCCTAAAAACGCCTGCGTGGGAAGCTACTATAAGGGCCACCTTTGAGGGGATTGGTACTTAAGCAACGACGACGGTGACGGCAACGAGAACGGCAAAAAAGCTCTGCACGTTCAGCACGCTTTTTGGTTCACTTATTTGCCGTCCTTACACGACTACAACGTGAAACTTCCTAAGTTTACGTTTTATAGCACCCTACTCGATCTGCATAATTCTTCATATCATACGAAAGACGAATTCAATAATTGTTTTATTATTCATTCAAAATGTTTCTAACTTTATGTTTGCCTCGATCGGTCGGCTATGTAATGTTTCGTCGTCATAACATTTGACTGTTCCCCGGCAGCTTCAGGTTACGTAGATTTACTTATTCTAGCAGACATACTTCAAATAACGTTTGTCATCTTTTGAGTGGTATTTTTGTTATTCTTTTTAGGCAGAAGTTTCGCTATTTCTTCTTAGCAAAACTTGTGAAATCTTCAGCCCATTTTCTCCAGCTCTATCAAAACAGCTGATACCGCGCTTTGTGCTGTCCCTTTTTCTCTCGATATTCGTATAACTTAAAGTCAATTGTGATGATATTGGCAAACGTCTTTCAAATTTGGTCAAAAGTGGTTGGTTATGAAGAATTAACCGGGGATTTGAGCCACTCATACACGAACACATATTTAGTAATATTTATAGATTAATAATTGCTCGCCCTAAATTTCTCGTGCGCCTGCTAAGGTGGTTGTTCAGAGAAAAACCCGTTTGGGGGAGGAATGACTATGCACGATATCAAGTTCTGGCGAAATAGATAGAAATAATATTTCAGTGTATTTAACTAGTATTGTAGCACTGCTGGGAACCTTCAGGGAAAGGGCTGTAAAGAAACCTTTTCAGCCGCCCTACTAAGCGATCAAATTGTGACCCTGTAGCAAGACAATATAACAAGTTTGAATGGATGCAGTACTTTATAACCTCTCCTACATGCTTTGCAGTTAAAGCATACCCTTTTTCATTCTTTCATAATTGACCTCAAAACTGTCAATTCCCACTAACACTGTCATTTTTTACGGCAAAACAGGTATTTGGATGCTGAATCCCTGGACATTATTTAATATACCTGGCTTTTTGAAAAACGGGCTACTCTCGCATTAATTGGTAATTTAATGGTACTTCTTACTGGAAAAGTAAAATCTCGCCTAATAAAGAAATTGGCAACAGGCCGCCCCCCCCTCGAGCATTTTTTCTGGAATTTCCACTGATTTCTGTTATTTCAGGGAAGTTATTTGGAGCCCATGGTCAGGGGCTGAAGATGGTTGGTGCTGAAGCGAGAGATTTTTATTTTTACACTAAACGTATCCTGGCTTTAAGCAAATTATACTTTGAAAGGTTGCCTGCAATGTCCTGGACTTGGCTTCAGATTTCAGGCGACCCGGTTTTCAAAACTCTAGGTAGATACATGTGCCTTCTTTTTCAGCGTCGGCGCTCACTCCTTGTTGTTTGTGGGATAGTGGCTTTATACGGTTGTTATTGGCTTTCAAGACGCAATAATACAGGTAAGATTCAAAAATGCTCCACATTTTAATAAAAAAAGTCCTTTTTCTAGCCGAAGATTGATGACAGATCTTGACGATCTTCTTATCAGATGTTACTAACAGTTCCAATTACAAATATCGTTTCGCATGGGAACCGCGCCGTCAGCGTTGCCGCGCCTAAGCTGTGGCATTCCCTTCCTTTTGAAATTAAAACTGCCGAAACCTTAAACCTATTTTTAAGTTTACTGAAAACTCATTTGTTTCGTATTGCGTATTTTGAACCTAATACCTTTATTAGTATTAGCATCCGTCTAAGTACTAGTATTAGCACTAACACAGTATTAGTAAAAACGAAACGAAAACATTAACGAAGAAGGGAGGCGATCTGCGTTTCCAAATCAATTCAAAGTAGACAGGGTGCAAATTATAGTAGTTGCTAAAAATATATCTACGTGTCCCAACTGTGACAATAAAAAAGTGACGTTTTGGGGGTGGAAAATGTGTCCTTTTTGCGTAAGGCTATGAATACTATAAATTTGAGGGGTGTAATGTAACAACTGAAAACTAATTCAGCGCTTTATTCAACTTTGAAACAGGAAGTGCTCAATTGCATCTCCTCGTGCAGTTTCCAGTGCTTAACATTTCCGATACAATCAGGGATGAGCACTTGGTGATGCGACAGAAGGAATTTATCTTTTGCCTCCAGCGAAACTTACTTAGTCCTCACGTAAGTTTACATTGTTCTGGTGAAATGTTAGCCGGGAGGAAAAGGGGAGAAGAATTGGACCTGTCGTTTGCTACAGTTCTCCCCGAACTCCTCCTCCCAGGTCTTCATAGTTTTTTCTTACCAATAATGGTTACGCAACGACTGCGAACTACCGCTATATTGCTACTCAGCAAATTTATAAATTTAGGCATATCTAAAGGCGGAGCTTGCATTCAGAAACCAGTATTTAGAATACTGAATTCTTTCAAGTTGTTAGTTTAGTGTTCTTGACAAAGGCAACGTGTACATAAAAACGATCTCTAGACTAATAAACAGTTAACAGACCCTCTGTGCGCTGCTGCTGGATGGATTTAAGAAACTGGTCTTCCAAGTGCTACAATCAATTATACATTCAGAAAGGGAAGTATCCTGAAAGAGTTTATAGTTTGTTGGCTAGTTTGTTCAATGAAGAAAAGGTTTTCAGTATTTTTCTACACTCGTTCAGATCACCTGTGTTGTCAAAACTTGTTATAAAAGTAAATTATCATTATCATTAAAAAATCTCCCAGAGACCTTAGAGGCATTTTTTTAAAAGGGCTTTATAACTTTGACAATTTTATACGTAGAAGACTGACAGACCACAACAAGATAACATTTGCAATAAAATATCTTCCCATGTCACATCCAAGGTAATGACGTCATCAATCACGTGACTATCGCCGAATTAGTTTTTTTTGTTGCTGTGACAAGATTTCATTAACGAGTTAAAAAAATAGGATATTTGAGGTTTTAGATGTGTTGGGCGTTTAAAAATAACTAGTTGACTTCCGGCATTTAAAATTTAAGGAGGTAATGCAGCCTAGTCCCCAGGCGTTTTCGGCTCGGTCATTCCTGGACTCTACCATGAGCTGTGACGTCACAGAGAGATACTTGCCGAGTGCGCCTAGCCAATATTGCCAGATCAAATATGGCGGCCTTTCCTGTCAGGTTGCTGTAACTTCAGTAGGTAGCTGAAAACCCGTCTTTGGAACAGGAAGAGTTTCTATATATATGTGCATGCCAAAGCGACAAAAAAAGTTTAGGTTTCTTAAATACGGATCCGCAAAGCCAAGTTTTGTTCAACTGAAGCGGACTTTCTGAACTTTCACGCGCAGCAACTTGTATCAGACGATCGATGAACTTCTTTCTTCAATTAGTGCCAATGAATCTCTACACGAGGAGTTCACAGGTTACGGACTGTTGTCGAAACCCTGTAAACGAGGAAACAAGGCAAACGTGCATATATTGTCAAAACATGCTTCATTTCTGGGCATTTGCAAGCATTTGCTGATGTTTTAAAACGACACATTAAAAGTGTCTTTCCGAGAAAAAGAAACACAAAAGGTAGGTACTGTCGGTTTTGATTCAACTCGTAATGTATATATTTTTTTTTACTAAAGCGGCGTTTTCCAACGGAAAAACGGCACATCTTTCTTCACCTTTCTTACGTTCCTCACGAAATACAGATATTGAGGGCCTAGATAGGTGTCTCGATGCCGCACTTAAATTTTTGACTGCTAAAATTGTATATAACTATTCAGTTGAAAGATATTTTGACTAATTTGCTCAGACAAAAGATTAAGGTCATATTCTAGTAATAAGTTCAAGATTAACAAAGTCAGAACCGAATTATTCAAAGGCACTTTTTTCAATAGATTACCAAATTAGGTCGGTGGTTAGGTTACCTGGTCCCTGGTCCCTCCACCGTCGTCACCGTCCGACAGAGGTCGACAAGGATGTCAGAAGTTCAGGGGAAAGCAAAGCATACAAGACATGTAAAGCGTGCAAAAAAATTAAGCTATGTGACGGACAACCGTGTTTTCCTCGACCGATGGAAAGACGCCTTACGAGCAGGGAGAGAATTGTACGGTCATACTGTTCAGTCGGTAGCCGCGCGATCGACATAGTTCATAAATTTCTTGAACGTTCCCCGGCATGGACCAAGCCAGGGTTTATTGTGAGCTTTACGTCTGGCTTCGATCCGTTAAAGATTTAATTCTACGAGAAAACCTAAAACTTTACTTGAAAACTGTCAATCACCATATAGAAGGAACTATACTCTTTTTAACTATATTTTTTACCCTTCACTGAAGCGGTCCAGTGGTTAGAGGAGTTAACTTTCAACTCTAACTGATTCGGAGAGACTCTAAAGTTCGAATCCCCTTCAGCAAATTTTTCATAACCTTTTTTTTTATTTTCTTTTTCTTTTTTACTTTTTCTTTACCTGTGTGGTGCACATAACGTAATGTGATTAACAATATACACGAAAAAATTTCTGAATTCTGATTGGCTGAGAAAGGAGTGCAGCTCTTCTGTAATTAACACGAGTGCAAACTTGTGACACGAGTACAAAACTTGTAGCACGAGTGCAAATTACAAATGGTTTCTGATTAACTGAAAACACAAAAGAAACCACCAAGAACTAATCAGATTCGGAGCTGTTTTAGCAACAAAATTCAAGAAAATGGCCATGGTTTTCAGCAGACGGGGACGGTATTTAATTTTGTACGCAAAACAACAATAGAAAAGTTAAAGAAATATTCGAAAAACCCGGACACAGTAAAAAGTACGTTTTTCTGGCTAAATGTATTGAAAATGCGACGCTAAGAGAAAAATACTGTCAACAAAATCGAGGAAAATGAGCCAGAGAAACTAAAAAACAAGCTACTTATGACAGACTACGCTAAAGTAAAAAAATAAAGAGCAAAAACGGTGGCAACCACACGCAAACCATAACAGCTACACTTTTCAAGCATTTAAATGAACAAGGATACAAGTTTTCCATGATAGCAACAGGGATTTCAAGTCACGTACGTTATTTGTTGGAGGAGAAAGGTGTTCGGTTGCTCTCTTTGAGTCTTTGTGGAGCGACTATTAAAACATCCATGCTATCGTCTGTTTTTCTCTATCTCATTGGCAAACGAAAACCGAAAATTTAAACATCTGGTCTAAACTAAGCCAATAGGCGAAAATATCATAACAAACCTAATGAAAGTATCCGTAGCTGGTACTAGCCTTAAAAAAGTGAGAAAAAAGTTTAAGAATCATTGTGCAAGAAAAAACAACAGTCAGGAAGCTGAAGAAAGCAAAGATTGTAAGTTCAGAACATATCGCCAATGTCACAAGTCACAGAGGTATAAATTTCCTTAACGACTACGATGAAGCCGACGAAGAAGAGCTACGATGACTCTTGCGGTAGGCCAAATGAAATAATGAAAACCCCAGCGCTGACACAGGGTGAAATAAGGCGTTTCCGTATTTCGGAAATCTTGCGGAAATCTGATGGTTCAAGTTTCCGTCACATTTCCGGAGGGCGGAAACACGTAAGAGCAAAATGAGGTCGCGTTTCGGGTTTCCGCAGCGTTTCCGCAGAGTTTCCGTTGGCTGAAATGTACAAGGCTGTATCAGTCGCGTTTCCGCAGACAATTTTCTGCGGAAACTTGGTAGCTTTTATCTTCGGTTGATTTAATTTTAAGTAGGCGATGTGCTGCCAAGGATTTCTCGGCAACAGCACTATTTTTAATATTTTTCATATAATAAAATTTGTTTTAACTGTACTGATTACGCTTCAGGCAAGATGAGGAATCATTGCATTGACCTAAAATATCTGAAAGAACAGAGATAATCGCCTGCGCTAAACTACACGTCGTAAATACTGGAAAAGTGATAGATGATTCTCTCTGTCTTCCTTTTTTCAGAGATTCAAAGATGTGTCATTAAAATTACTAGCGCTCCAAACATTGACGCGTAATTTGAAACAATTTAGAAACAGCCAAATAAATTATAACGCTTGCACGCATTTTGCCTCGCTCTGGGGGCGCGAGTGTTACGAGCATGCGTGCCTCGTTTTCACGTTGGATTTTGAATCGCGCGCCTTTTTGAACATTCTTCGCTGTCGGTTCGCCTTCCATTTTGGTGGTTTGTTCATGCAGGACCATTTTTTTGTCAAGATAAGCGAGGAGAGTGTGATAGATTGCGGAGATAGACTGCAGGGAGAAATAATACTTCGAAAAACTATTTAAACGAAACGCCAAATCCCATGGAAGCGGTGATGAAGGAGTTCAGTGTTCACTCTTCGCGACTCGAATGCACCCTGAGTGTTTCAACCATCATTGAGAAGAAAGAACGCTTATTTTAAACTGTGGATCCTTGTTGTTTCGTAAGTACATTCTGAATCTTGTTTAAATATATAGAGGCATATTTAAGTCTATGTAATAGCTTTGGGAGCATTTCATCGATGTCGATCATAAAAATCGTTTCACATGTGAGCTTCATGCGACAGCGAGTTGCTTCGTACAGATCTGACCTTTGTATGTTGCCTGTAGTTTCTTTGATAGCATATGCCTGTAAAGCACGTCTTTGTCTGATTTCTTTTACAATAAAGACATAGTTGCTGCATGCACATTTTAATGGCGAAGATGGCAGCCGTAAAATACTTAATCTGGAATGAGGAAACGGAATCACGGAACGGAGTACGGAATCCAATAGCAATGACAGAAAAATATTATATAAAAATTCCTTGACACTGAAATGTACAAAACATTTCCACTCCAATTTCTGAGACTGTAGATGTTTATCACAAGGATAAACCTGTACAAAAATAATATTTAATGTTCATATTAATTTTTTGCAGACAACGTGCATTTCCTTACTACCAATGGGAATTGTTCAAAATTGAAATAAATGTAGTGCTTGTTACGAGACTTGTAGTGTGAAAAGGAACCTTTTCTCTTTGTGTACATGCACAATAACAAGTTTAATATGATGGTGCAGAAAGGTTCTAAAAGTCACAAGATTGTAGAGGGATATCATTTCCTTACACTTCAATTTGTCGTTAA